GATGAGGAGAATAGTCCGAATAATGTAAATAGTGTACATAATACCTCATCTCAGAAATATAGACAGATACTGAAGGGCCGAAACGTTGTAATAAATATGGCGACAAAGATGAGGACAATAGTCCGAATAATGTAAATAGTGTACATAATACCTCATCTCAGAAATATAGATAGATACTGAAGGGCCGAAACGTTGTAATAAATATGGCGACAAAGATGAGGACAATAGTCCGAATAATGTAAATAGTGTACATAATACCTCATCTCAGAAATATAGATAGATACTGAAAGGCTGAAGCGTTGTAATAAATATGGCGACAAAGATGAGGAGAATAGTCCGAATAATGTAAATAGTGTACATAATACCTCATCTCAGAAATATAGACAGATACTGAAGGGCCGAAACGTTGTAATAAATATGGCGACAAAGATGAGGACAATAGTCCGAATAATGTAAATAGTGTACATAATACCTCATCTCAGAAATATAGACAGATACTGAAGGGCCGAAACGTTGTAATAAATATGGCGACAAAGATGAGGACAATAGTCCGAATAATGTAAATAGTGTACATAATACCTCATCTCAGAAATATAGACAGATACTGAAGGGCCGAAACGTTGTAATAAATATGGCGACAAAGATGAGGACAATAGTCCGAATAATGTAAATAGTGTACATAATACCTCATCTCAGAAATATAGACAGATAGTGAAGGGCCGAAACGTTGTAATAAATATGGCGACAAAGATGAGGACAATAGTCCGAATAATGTAAATAGTGTACATAATACCTCATCTCAGAAATATAGATAGATACTGAAAGGCTGAAGCGTTGTAATAAATATGGCGACAAAGATGAGGACAATAGTCCGAATAATGTAAATAGTGTACATAATACCTCATCTCAGAAATATAGACAGATACTGAAGGACCAAAACGTTGTAATAAATATGGCGACAAAGATGAGGAAAATAATCCGAATAATGTAAATAGTGTACATAATACCTCAACTCAGAAATATAGACAGATACTGAAGGGCCGAAACGTTGTAATAAATATGGCGACAAAGATGAGGACAATAATCCGAATAATGTAAATAGTGTACATAATACCTCAACTCAGAAATATAGACAGATACTGAAGGACCGAAACGTTGTAATAAATATGGCGACAAAGATGAGGACAATAGTATATAATGTAAATAATGTTTCTTTATTTCTTTGGCATTTTTTAAAATCAATTTTATCCGAGCAAGGCGATAATGCCACTAAGACGCCGGTAGTGTGATACTGGGAGTGAAATATAATTAAAAGAAAAACATTTGAAGAACTAGAAAGTCAATGTTAAACGGTAAAAAAATAGATAAACCTCAGCACATGTTAAAAAGAGATGAGTTTTAACCGAGTGAAAAGCGAATCTATCTACTGCATCTAGAGAAAAAAAAGAAAAAAGATAATTAGTAAATAAAATTTCACGTGGAGAATTACAGAATTGAAGTAGACAGTACAAAGAAACAGAAATCTAAACCTAAACAGAAAACAAGAGGTAAACCTCTACTCCTGTTGAAAAGGCCATAGAGGAATCTGAAGGAAGCGATAATAGAACCTACTCCTATTTGATTTCCATATCTCCAGTTTGTAGCTCGCATCTTGGAACAGTTCTCTTGTTGACAAAACATACATTCTGCTTTCTTACAATAGATAGTCCTTTCTTCTATCTTTCTTTCTTTGTCTTCCATCAACAGTTTTTCATCAATAATAAATCTTTAGGGACAATAAAGTCACAATGAGGATGCTGCTAAATACGTTTCTCTTAACTATAAACTAGCATAAGTGACAACTTCATTTCCCAAATTAAGGAATGGCAATTTGTGATAAGTTATTTGGGCTGAAACATTCATGTATAATGTTTTCTCACAACTTGTCCGATGTTACTTCCCTTACGTTTTTGATGGAATAAATTTGATTTGATCTGTTTTCACGCATATAAATGTCCCCAGGTCTTATAATGCTTCTCTGAGGAAGGCTGAAGTTCACACCGACCTAAATGAAGTGATAAAATAAATAACCTGTCGAATGAAAATGTCATGGCGTGACATTCAACAGTGAAAAGAAAACTGATTTTCTTAACAAAAGCTTATTTCCCTTGACATTTTAACGATACTAATCTGGCGGGAAAATTATTATTATTATTATTATTATTATTTGTTTTCTTTTAAAATGACAGAGACTCGTTAACTTGATTAACTAAAAAAAGGTATCTCAAAAAAGATTTTAGCCTAAAAGATTGTTATGGCAAACATTTTGAGCAGCAAATGGAATGTAAGCTGCAGAAGATATTTAAAAATGAAGATTTTCCATCAAATTATATGTGTTTCATTATGAATCCGTAAGTTTTTAAATATTTTCCCCGCAGAAAATGAGAATGAAAATAAAAATCAAATAAAAAACAAAAAAAATTCAGTAAAGAATTTCTACATTTTTCCAAATTGGACTTTATCGAACTTGGCCAGGTTTCTCGTTAATTTGATTTTTATTTGTGTATTTCTAAAGACAAAGTAAAAAGACAAAGAATATTTTGGTTAATATTATTTCTGGAATGCCAATAAAATAAAATAAATATATGTAAATATATAAAATACTTTTTGCCTTTGTGTGCGTGCTGATATTTTTTAAAATTATTTTAAAAGGATTATACCTGTTTTGATCATAACGACTAAGGGCGAACTTCTGCCAAGGAATTTGGTACAGAGATGTTTTACCACCAGAGATAATTCATAGAAACAAAAGCAAACAGTGAGTTATATCAAAACCAAGAAATACTTGTAGGAGATAAAAAGTGCTCAGCCAGACCCAAATGCTTTTCTCCAAAATATATTTATATTATCCAATGAAACATGCATTTTTTAAAGAGAAAAGAGAAGCCGTAAACTTTTTTTGTTATAATGTAGATTTATATATATATATATATATATATATATATATATATATATATATATATATATATATATCCATATTTTTATAGACGTGTTTCAGGTCTTATGACCCTAATCACGCAAAAGAAAGGTTATTTCCACATTATTTCAAGGATTTTTCTTTATTATGATTGTCCATTGCATTTTGGGTGTGGTAGTAATCAAAATTCTTCGTGGACTGGCGGAAAAAATATTCCTCTGATTAACGGGTAATAAATCAATTAGCATTGCTCAAAGAAAGGAGAAGGAATGAGGTCTTTGTCTTTATCTTTTTATCACTTCTGTATCTTTTAAATCCTTTCTCTATCTGTGTGAATATTTTGTGTATGTTTTTGCTAGTATCTGTATATACATGCTCCGACTAGTGTGTATTTTTTGCTAGTATGTGTGTATGTATTCATTCTCCATACATATATATACTTTGTATTATATTATTACAAAGGAATCTATACAGTAACGACATGTGTCTCGTATGATGTGTTTGTGTATGTGTGTGCTTCGTCTAGTCTGTTCTGCCACTATGTGTGCATGGTGTATGCTTATGCGTGTGGGGTTATGATTTGTTAAGTGCTAGCTTAAATTGATCAATGACGTTTTTATCTTGTATATGTAGGTATGTGCAATCGTCTTCTTGATATACTGGCATAATTTAAATTTACCTTTGCTGCATTTGTGGATGTGTTGTGACACCAAGAGTTCCCTGTCGTCAGGCAATTTAATGTTGCTTTTGTGAAGAGGAATTCTGTTTTTTAGTGTTTAGGTGATACCTTATAGGATTTTTGCACTTGAGTTCCTAAATTACATTTTTTGGAGTTGCAGTTTGATTCATTTTTTTCTTTAATGAGAATGTTATGACATTTTCAAAGTTGTAGGAGTTTCCTTTTCTAATGATATAACAAACTCCACATCTTGTTGCATTTTGTAATCCTCTGTACTGTGTTTTCATTACATTTGCATGAGGTTAATATGTATTTTAGTTTTTTTTAGTAGCGTCTGCTTTTAATTATTAATTTAATTAATTTTAATTATTTTGGTTGTAAATAATTCTGGATTGGGACGTGTGCTATAATTTGTTCATTGGGTTTCGTAGTTGGTCTTTGTTTATTAGCGGTGTGGGATAACCTCGTTTTTTGTGACTTCTATATAATTCTTCTAGGCGGGTTTTTCGAAGCTGTTTGTTGGTTACTATAGTGCAAATCCAACGTTCTATGGAATAGGAGATGAATTGTAGACAGCGTTTTTGGGTGCTGGCTCTAGAAATGAAGATATTGTTGGGTGTCTGTCAGTTTATGATAGTTATCTGTGATAATGTGATTATTTCTATTTCTGATGAATATATCTAATAATGGCATATCACGAAAATTATGTTCCTGGGTGAATTTGATCTTCCCACATATATACACACACATACTTGCAAAAACAAACACGCGAGACAGACACCCGCATTAGAAAACAGAAGAAAATTTAATTCTTAAAATAATATGTGGAAAGAACCATTCTGATGAAAGCCCCAAAACGCAAAATAGTAAAAGCTATGGAAAAAATAAAGTATAATATATAAAATAAAAACCAGATTATAGCCCAAAAAGTTTACAGATTCTTTATTCCATTAATATATATATATATATATATATATATATATATATATATATATATATATATATATATATATATCTTAAAGGAAAGAAGAATCTGTAAACGTTTATATATATATATATATATATATATATTAAAGGAAAAAATAATCTGTAAGCGTTTTTGGTTATAAGAAGTATATATATATATATATATATATATATATATATATATATCTTAAAGAAAAAAGAATCTGTAAACGTTTATATGTATATGTATATATTAAATGAAAAAGAATCTGTAAGTTTTTTTGTCTATAAGAAGCAATATATATATATATATATATATATATATATATATATATATATATTGCTTCTTCCGTCAAATATAACATTTCGTCTGCCTTGCCGAAAATTTTACACTTATTAGTAAATCACTGAAGGCGAATTTTATTTTGTAAATTGAAGAAAATGATTTCTCTGATGTAAATTTGGTTGTGAAAAATAATTTCCTTGCTGCCTTGAAAGAACATCTGTATTGAAACTCATGTATATACATGTATGCATAGATAGATAGATAGATAGATAGATAGATAGATAGATAGATAGATAGATAGATAGATAATCAACAGAATGCAAGAGATAGATTCCGTTTTCAAGGTTAGCAAATACACTACCAATGGGGATTAGATAAATCTATTGAATCCATTAAAATATCATATATATTCAAAAACTACGTATTTATTACAGACAAATTCAAAACCTGTTTTATATTAAACATCACCATATTTAACATCACCATATGTAAACATTAAAGTTGTTATAAATGTTTAAAACTAATAAACCCATGTTCATATATATATATATATATATATATATATATATATATATATATATATATATATATATATAAATAAATAAAGTACTCAATATCAGAGATAGAGTCTATCTAAATATAAAAGTGGACATTAAAGTCAACACTCAGAGGCGACAGATTCTCTTATGCTAAAAGCAAATTGGCGTGACGATTGCGTCTAGTGTAACACAGACCGTTTCATATATATATATATATATATATATATATATATAAGTACATTTCATATATATACATGTTAAAGAGGTAAGAGAAGTAAACGTTTTTGATTATAATCTGTATTTTTATATATTATATTTTATTTTTCCACAGTTTTTACTCCACGTGTTTCGGTCTTGTGACCGTCATCAGACGAGATTTTTTTTATTTCCACATATCATACAAAGCATACTAGAAAATATGGAATTAATTTTTTCTTATATTTTCTAGTAGTTTTTTTGTGTGTGTGTGTGTGTGTTTGTGTGTGTGTGTGTGTGTGTGTGTGTGTGTGAGAGAGAGAGAGAGAGAGAGAGTCTGGTTCATTTAGCGTGTTTGTTTATGCTAATATGTGTGTATATATATATGTGAAAATCAAATTCACCCAAGAACCTAATTTTCACATAATGCCATTCTTAGATATACTTAGAAATAGAGTTTTTAACAGTTTTGTAACAGCACAAAGAAACTGGTCCGTGAATTTGAGAAGATTAAAATCAAAATAGACATATGCCTAGATTATTCAACCAAACATGCTTAATATATATATATATATATATATATATATATATATCTTTGTGTTTGTGTGTGTGTGTGTGTGTGTGGTTGTGTGTGTGCGTGCTCGCTCGAAATCAGAGCAGATGAAGATCATATATTGCTCGGTAAGAAAGAGAATGAAATGATAAAGAAAAAATAGGAAACGTTTATCAATTTTATTAAAGCTTCATCAGATGGTATTTTTATCAAATAAGGTATTAATATTTTTAAATAGAAATAAGTCAAATCAAATTCCAGCCACTATAGGCATGACGACGACGCGTTACAATTTAAATTCTGACGAAAGGTAATTAACAACATTTAACAAAACAACCATTAAAATGGCGAAAGAAGACGCCGAAAACGCATACATGAAATATAAATAACCAATCCAAATAAATAAATATGGTAAACAATATACAAATCAAGAAACCAATCCCGCCAAAATAACCGTTAGACTACAGCAATCAATCAAAAAATTGAGCGAGAAAATAGCTATAAATGCTACATAACGATATAAAAGTTCGACGTTACTCAAAAATCGAAAACTAAATAGAGTAAATAAAAATATACAAAATAAAATATATGCAAACAAATAAGAAAAAACAAGTAAAAATTATTCCAAAAAAAAATTATCAAATCAACAAATCGATGCCGCTAAAGTAACCGTTAGAACTAATAAAAAACATAAATAAGCAAAGACAAGTAAAATAATCAATCCAAATAAATATAGAAAGAAAATAATAAATAAATTAAAAACTGTCCCCTGCTAAAATAACAGAATCAACTAAAACAATCAATCCAAATTTGAAGAATACATAGCTTTATTTTCCCTTTCCAAAACAAACTATTAAACAGGCGACCTAAAAAAATCCCCTCAATTTTTTTAATACGTTAATAAAACGTAGTAAAACGAAAAGAATAAATAAACATATAGAATAAAAAATGAAAATAAAAACAAATAAATTAACTTAACCCAAATAAATAAATGTATGAATAAATAAACAAGCCACTCCCGCCAAAATAACCGCCCGAATGGATTACCTACAATGCAGCACTGACCCATATGTATCAGTAGTCGAGAAAAAATCCAACAATCGCGCCCAGACGATTGCGTCTACCATGAAGCAGCCTGTCGCCTCTGAGTATTGACGTCTATGTTCTCTTTTATATCTATATTTACACACGCTCTATCTATGACATTGAGCACTTTATCCCATAAATATAGCACACATTAAAACTATATTTTTTCATATATATATATCTGTGTGTGTGTGTACATATATATATATATATATATATATATATATATATATATATATATATATACTAAAAAGAAGAGAGAAACCGCAAATCACCCTTGATGCATCTAAAATGTATGATTTAACAAAAAATATATTGTCAGGACATTTTACAAAAGAAAAGATGAGAAATGAAATGCGAAATGTACAAAGAAACTGTAACTGCCTGTGGTTGGTTACCCACTTTTTGAAAGAGCGAAAAGAATACGTCTTTTTGCAATGAAAAGTCACCGAGAAAGAGATCGAGTCTTTCAAATCTCGCGTCGCCTGTAAATCGTCACGGCCCGATAATTCCAACATCTCGCCGCAGTGAGATTTTATTAATCAGATGCCGGTAAGTCAACAATATAATAAATATTCATTTAGAATAGCTATGGCATTTTTTTATCTTATAAACATGGATTATGCAGCCAGATTCTTATTCATTTTATTGTAAATAATATGTGTGTGTGTCGAAGGTCAACTGACCCAATAGATAACAGCTTCGATTGAATAATTCAAAGATTAACTAAACCCAAAGTGTTGTGAATTCAAGACCTGGCAGCATCAAAAGGAACAAATCTTGGAGACCGGGTGTAACAGCAAAATTGTCCAAATCGTGTGAGAGCATAATCATCCATCCTACAAAATGTTTAATATCTAAAAATCCACCAAACTCAGTTTGTTTTTTTCCAGATTTTCAGATATCTTGATATATGAATCAATGAAAACCCCTTTGCGTTATTCAGGTAAAAAAAAAAACAGATTAAAATTGTTTTGTGTTAGACCCACTGTCTATCCAACTGAGCAACGGCGAGAGGAAAAAGATCATTCAGGCCTTCAGTAACAGTGCCAACATTCATATTCTGGCTTTAATCTTCAAAATCAATTCAAGAACTATCAAGAGAGTGGTAAATAAGTTTAAAAAAGAGGGAACATTAGAGAGAAAAAACTTGATCAGGAAGTCACAACAAGAAGAGGGTTCATCATTTCAATCTGGAGCTTAAGAGATCAATTACAAAAGATCCAACTCAATCCATAGGTGATTTGGTACGTGATAGAAGAGTTTCAGCTATGACTATCCAAAGAGCAGTGAAAAAAGACCTCGAAAATGAAATCGTACATGAAACATTTGAGGAAACTTGTTAATCCAGAACAGAAGGTTAGAAGTTTAGAGAGGGCGAAGATCATCGTGAGAATGTCGAAAAATGATCCCGGATCAATATATATATATATTAGAACTTATATATATATATTAGTCCAGTAGTGTTATAAAAACCTCGGAGAATTCCAGTAAGATATCTTTAATCATTACTAAGATACAGCGGTTGAGAATTTCATCTAACAATTGAACAATTTTGACAATTTGGTCTTACGGCCGGTATATATATATATATATATATATATATATATATATATATATAGTTACACGTGCCATGTTTAATATATGTCAGTTATCAGTTATCTCCTGTTAATTCCCCTTTCAAAGTTCTTCACCGCCTTAACCATGTATTAAACTCACACTCTTTGGGTCCTCTCACTGGATCTAACTAACGCCTTTATCCACTGCGCCATGTGTCCTTGATGACATCTGTGTATGAATTTCTGGGTATAATAAACCTAATGGCACGTGGAACTAGAACAGTCTACCCCATTGAACGAAATAAAGTTCGACATCGTCGGAGCGTACAACGGCCCAAACGTTGGAATAAACATGGCAACAAAGATAAGGACAATAGTCCGAATAATGTAAATAGTGTACAGGTCATTGTGAACCAACTTTCTTAGCTGAAGACTTTGAACTTGATTCCATATCAGTTCAGGAATTCATACAAGAGATTGTAACTTATTCATTCTTGGGGGGGTCGTCTTGGCGTCCTTGTGAGACGGCACAAAGTTTTGTTGAAAAGTGCACGGCTTTCCTTTTCTCAGGCTCTTTCAAAAGACACCACAAACCTCTCTAATAACTCCTTATAGTCAATAGCTTTGATCCTTAAGCAATTAGGAAAGACGTGAGGAGGCATGATATTTCCACTTTGCTCACGACTCACAGAATCCTCACTGCTGCCGGAAACCTTTTGTGCATGAGTGTTGGCCCAACCTTTGAGGCATGGATTACAACATGCGTTTTCAATTGTTGACTTAGTTTTATGGTTGTCATCCTAAAAAAAAACGGAAAAAACAAGAACAATTTAGAAAAAGATATTAAAAGAGGTGTCTTCATATATATATATATATATATATATATATATATATATATATATATATTAAAAAGAGGTGTCTTCATATATATATATATATAATTATTTACTCGAAAATTATAACATAAATATGTATAAAATCATTACAAAAATATCCATTTTTTTCAATACTTCTGGTGTCTTATCAATGAAAATAGTGTTGAATGTAGAATGGGTCTACATTCAACAGCATTTTCACTTGATAAGACGCCAGAAGTGTTGAAACAAAACGGCTATTTTTGTAGTGATTTTATAACATATTTATGTTATAATTTTCGAGTAAATTATTATATTTGCTCTATTCTGTATTGAACACTCTTTTAAGAATAGTATTTTTGATTATTGCAATTTATTCCGTATACACCAATCTTATACTTGGTTATATATATACATATATATATATATATATATATATATATATATATATACCGGAGAAATACTACTTTGTGGAACAAACCTGGTAATTCCCTGAAGTATTTAAGCTTGACCTCTTCACCTTTAACCTCTTCAAGTCAATCGTGATTTATGCTACTAAAATTCTCTTCCAATTATATGATACATCTCATCCAAAATTAACCACTGCACTGTCTATATTGAGTGGTACTCAAGCCATGTACTAGGTCAATAACACATTTCTTCCAAGCCAGCGAAAACAGTGATATTTGTATTCTCGTTTCTATATGAAAGAATAAAAAAATTATTTTTTTCTGAATAAATGCAGTTCCTGAAACATATTATTAATGTAATTCTCAAATGAATTTGGCAGGAAAAAATAAAAGCATCTCAATTAAAATAAATTTCCTTTCATAAATTATTAATATAAATGCGCTCGACCATGAAGTAATGCCTAACGTACTAACATGACACGTGCTCTGGGGAGATGGATACTTTTGTGTCTAGCATTTGCATCCTGAACTTGAAATCAGTGCCACCACCTATTTCAAAACTTCCAGTCTATCTTATTGAAAGGCAGAGATTGTGTGCTTCGAGACGAATTGAAAGCTTCGATTTTGAAAGTTGGTTTCCCAAAAATACATACCTTCTTCATTTGGATGCAATATATCGATGTATCCATATATATATATATATATATATATATATATATATATATATATATATATATATATATATACGCGGCTGCGTGTATGTGTCTGTGTGTGATCGGTGTATGTGTTTAGATAGATAGATAGATAGATAGATAGATAGATAGATAGATAGATAATCAACAGAATGCGATAGATAGATAGATAATCAACAGAATGAGATAGATAGATAGATAGATAGATAGATAGATAGATAGATAGATAGATAATCAACAGAATGCGATAGATAGATAGATAGATAGATAGATAGATAGATAGATAATCAACAGATTGCGATAGATAGATAGATAGATAGATAGATAGATAGTCTAAAACTGAATTTCATTATTGTTACACCCTATTCGTGTAGCCTTGTGTCTGAGTAGTCTATACATTTTTTTAATTATTTTACATCAATCAAAGCGATAATGATACTAAAACTTCAGGCTGTACTGAGAGTGGAAGTGAATGTGAAGAATTTACTGAGAAGAAAAATAATAATAAACAGGGTTTAGAGTAACCGAATATGGTGTTTGACGTTGCATTTCAAATTTTTCAAGATTGTATACCACAGAGCATCAGGAAAGCGAACGAAAGTTTCAAAGGTGAGAGATGTTACTGGAGAATTTATTAGAATAGAACTTACGGTTACATTCAAATTATTTTAATAATAAAAAATGAGACGAAGATCTCAATCTAGAAGTACGCTTAAATTTATTGCCACGAAAATATTTATAGAAAAGACAGAGAGAATCCACTTCACAGCGTTTGGAAAATTGTCTGAAGTTTAGATGCCAGGTTAAGACCGATAACATTGCAGACTGTTTTGAGCCATTGAAATATAGAATAAGAAGGCTCTAAACGCCAAATCATTGTGGCCCTGTGCCAAGCTTGTCTAATCTTGATGAATATCGGTGAATCCTTTGCTGTAAAGAGCGGGCAAATTTCTTCTATTTCATCCTCACATCAGGTTACCCCCGTACAAATTTTACTACGAAAACAGATTATTTTTAATAAAATCAAAAATAGTGTATATCTGTCGCAGAGAGAAGCCACTTCACAGCGCTTGGAAAATTGTCTGAAGTTTAGATGCCAGGTTAAGACCGAGAACATTGCAGACTGTTTTGAGCTATTGAAATATAGAATAAGAAAGCTCGGAACGCCAAATCATTGTGGCCCTGTGCCAAGCTTGTCTAATCCTGATGAATATCGGTGAATCCTCTGCTGTAAAGAGCGGGCAAATTTCTTCTATTTCATCCTCACATCAGGTTCCCCCGTACAAATTTTACTACGAAAACAGATTAATTTAATAAAATAAAAAATAGTGTATATCTGTCGCTAATTGTTTATATCCGATTGGATTCTGTATTAATTCTCGGAGTCATTAAAGTTATTTTTTTTTTCCTTCACTTAGTTTTTTTAAAGTTCACTTCTGTGAGCTTGTCGTAAATTCAGGATTTATTTTCGAATTGATCTGATTTTTAAAACGAAAACATAAATTCCGGAAGCCCTTTTCGGCTTAAGATAACGAAAATTGGTTCCACAGGAATATTCTAATATACTTTTTATCGTTATTTTATGTCATCTTGTTTTAATACAGCACGAAATACGATAGTTTGAAGACTAGAAAAACTGTAAAATTGAAAAAAAAGGATTTATTTGGGTGTAATGTCCACATTTAAGAAGCTACAAAATCCTTTCATTACTTCGTATGAAAAAAAAAAAGAAATCTTGGTGTCCTAACTGACAAAGTTACCGATATTTTTTTACTAGTAATTTAATAACCAATTTCTTTCTTCGCAAATAAATCACCGACCGAAAATAATATTGTGAAATAAATGTTAACCACAAATAGCTGTAATATCTTTTAAATTATGTTTACAGTCAAGCTGGGATTTCAAACATGGTTTTAGATTTTTTGAGAGTGAAAAGTTTTCTCTCTTTTTTGAAGAGTATGAGATTAGAGTTTGATTAATGGCGTATAACTTAGAACGTACATTCAAATAAAAAAGAAGAAACAGTTTAAAGTCAAACGTCTACCGAGTATTTAAATACACTCTTGAGTAAATTCAAAGAAAACGAATAATTCCGTTATTATTTAAATTTTTTTTCATATTTTTCCAATGAAAAATAACCCAGTACACATGTTAATACTTCGTATGTCCATTCCACGAAGTCGTTCCTTGCAGATTGATCAGATTCTCCATTGGATTTAAATTAGGAGAGTTTTCCAGCCGATCGATAGTTCTTATGGTATGGCTTGCCAGTGTGTTCGTTTAGCGTTACAAATTTTCGTACGCTTCCTTGGAGTAATGTCCATCGCAGACAATGACCGTAGGACAACCAATCGACAGAAGGGACACTAGTGTCTGAACATGAGGAAAATCTGATGCAATATTTTTCAACACCAAACAAATTTAATTATTCACCCCGAAAATAGATTCATATTACTGCATACCACTGCAATCTGAGAAAAAAATAGAAATCGATTACAATGGGGTATGATACGTTTTTACCGATCCTTGATTACAGCAATTTTGGTTCGTTTAATAACGTCTCTTCTTTTCTTTTCAGACTATAACGTGTTAGTATCAAGCTACTCTTATCTGTGAACAATAGTTGTCTTGTATTTTGCAATGAAAGTTCTCGCAAGTAAGGAAATTGTTGAATTTCAACGAGGGCAAATAAGAGGATGGCATCAGTGTGGCAAGTCAAATAGAGAAATTGCTAGGTTTTTCCAGGTTAATCATCAAACGGTTAATAATATTGTCAAGAAATGTAATGATGAAGGCCATTGTCATGTAGAACAACATTCAGGAAGACCAAGCTTCGGGCACTGAATATGGAAATCATCAGAAACTGTCGTCAGAGCATCAAAGATGTCGCCAACAGAATGGAAATGTCACCATATGCGGTCAGAAAGACTCTGAAAGAGCTAGTCTATCAAAGAAGAGTTGAAATAAAGAAGCCCTTGATTTCAAAGTTTAACAGGTACCTTCGTATGGACTGGGAAAGAGAATTCGAGTATGTAATTTGGTCAGATGAAAGTAAATTCTGCCAATATTCGAATTCGAGATTGGTTTCTGTTTGGGGAAATTAGAATGAAACTTGGAACACTGAATGTCTGCAGGTGACCGTGAAACATTTAGGAATTGAAGTAATGGTGTGGGGTGATGTCTGGTTTGGAGGGAAATCTGAGCTGATTCTTGTTGACGAGCGGCTCATTGGTCCAAAATACTGTCAAATATTAGAGGAAAGAATGCTCCCACTATTTTAAACCAATCAGATTGACAACAATGTCTACCTTTTTCTCATACGAGCAAAGTAACAAAGGCCTGGAAGGATTTGCAAGGAATCAAGTCACTGCCATGGGTAGCCCAAAATCCTGACATGAATCTAATAGAGCACGTTTGGGAGCACCTTGATTGAAGGCTAAGAGAGCGTGCAACCAAAATCACGTCAGTGGCAATCCTTAAAGTAACATTGCTAAAGGAATGGCAAAATATGGATCAGTCGATTGTTGATAACTTGATTAAATACATGAAAAATCGATTACAAGCACTGAAACAAGGAAATTCATGTCCTACTCCATACTACTTCAAAATACTTCTTGTTTATGTTGAATAGGGATTACGTAATTAGATTTCGAAATTGGATGTAGTTTATTTCTCCTGTCTAAAACTTTTCTTAGGTCACTGTATATCCTGTCATTACAGTGTGTCTAAAACAGACAATATATATATTAAGGTGTCCTATATTTATGGGATAAAGTGCTCAATATAAATATAAAAGTGAACATTGAAGTCAACACTCAGAGGCGACAGGCTGTTTCATGCTCGACGCAATCTATATTTACATACGCTCTTTCTCTTGAGCACTTTATCCCATAAATATAGGACACCTTAAAATATATTTCTTCATATTCAGCTCCTGATAAACAGTAGATGACTTTTGGTATATTTATAACACATTATGGACACTGAAAAATTTAGCCACGACTACTCCCTAAAATATAAGCACCTCATCGCCACCCACATTTAAGCTAAAATTAATTGAAAAAAACGAAAGCTTCATAAAAAGAATAAGATGGAAAGCCCATTTCTTTTTAAACCAGGACCTTCACAATAACAATACACTGAAGGAAATATACGACCGGCATGACAATTGCGTACAGCATGAAACAGCCTGTCGCCTCTGAGTGTTATAATAATATAATAGTCTCAAACACTAATATTCCATGGTTATAATTTATTACATTAGAGTCGTAATCACAGGACATTGAGTTCTACTTGGATTCTATCCTCTTGAAATTTATATATATATATATATATATATATATATATATATATATATGTTTGAATAAAAGACAGACCACGTTAAGATTCCATGTAATAAGCTATTTCACCATAACCCCTTTAACAGGGTTCTGGATCATCAGACTTTACTTCCAAAATCTGAAATGAAAAGTGAAAAGAAATTCACACGTTTTTTACGGACCTCATCAAGTCTACGTAAAATTAACGAAGTGAGGAAGTGAGGTGGGAGAGAGGATATGAGTGTGTCATATGTATCATTTTAGTTTCCTATTATAACCCCAGTGTGTCGGCTAGATGTTGCTCAAATTTAACGCATCTCTAGATATAGATGGCTAAGGGGTGAATGATAAGAACGACATTAAAGGAAGAATTTACAACAACCCCAATAAATTACACGATATATATATATATATATATATATATATATATATATATATATATATATATATATTGAACACTAATAATATCAATATATATATGATGCAGCAAAATCCGATACTTGAAAATAAGTAAACGAAATAGGCAATAAAAACAAAAGTTGTATATGCAGATAATCGACAGTTGGACAACTAACTAACGTTTTTCAAGATGGAATATGAGCGCAGAGCAGCGGTAGTAGTTTCTTTTTGCGCCAGGAAGAAGCCTTCGGAAATGATGGCCTGGTTTGGGTTCAAGACGACCATGGTCATGGACATTTGGAGGAAGTGGAAGGCTTGTGAGAACAATGACGAGTTTACTGCCAAATAAAAGGCCCACATCGTTCTTTCTTCGGCCGTTAGGACCGACAAGTTCGTCGCAGCCGTGAAGGAGACAGTCAACAATGATGGAAACCAGAGCTATGCCAAGATCGCCGCTGACATGGGCTGTCACAAGTCGACGGTCTGCCGAACGATCAAAAAGGACATAGGTTACTCGTCCTACAGCAAGTCTCACCGCGTGCTCATCACGAATACCTCCAAGGAGTCGAAAGAGCACAAGCACGGGTCCGTCGGGATGCTGAGGTACTTTTCTGGTGAAAAGAATTTCATCCAGGACCAGACGAGCAACAGGCAGAACGACAGGTGGATCTGCAAAGACATCGAGGTGGTTTCCGTCGTGAAGCATACGATGTTTCCCTCCTCCGAGATGGGGGACGTCATGCCTCTGTTCTTCTTTCAAAAGGGCCTGAGATTAACCGCTGAGATTAAACGCTAAGATCTGGATTGACGAGATCGCCGCCGAATGCTCCTACGACTTCCAGTAGGGCTCCGCTCCTGCACAGAAGGCGTGGCTGCTCAATAATGTTCCTCACCACTGTTCGCCCTCCTAACCCGACTGCAACACCCTTGACTATTTCTTCTGGGGCGTGATCGAGGCCAAGACCAACAAGCACGCCCACAATACGGTAGACACTCTGAAGGCTGGCATCGTGGTAGCGTTCGCTGTTATGGACAAGGACATGGTCGCCAAAACGTGTGACTCATTTCGCGCCCGCCTTGATGTGGTCGTAGGTTACATTGAAAAATTATGTAGTATGTAACTCTAACTGTTTCTAAATAAAATGTCAGGTCACTGCATATAAAACTTTTATTTTATTGCTTTTTTTTTTCTTTTATCAAGTGTCGGATCTTGCTACAACACCTATATATATATATATATATATATATATATATATATATATATATATATATATATATATATGTATGTATGGGGGCGTGGCATTGTGAACATGTTAACGCTATTCACTAAGAAAAAATAATAAATCTGCTAAGCAAGTGGATCAGAAACAATTTATTTAGAAATTTCAAATTATCAACTGCTATGTCGTACTGGAGAAAAAATAGTTAATTCTTATTATTGCATAGTTGTGATGTGAATTAGTATCTTTGCTTTAGCGTGCTTAGTTTGAGTTTTTCTCATTTTGACTTTGAAAATTCTCATTTCCCCTTTGAGTTTTCAGATTTTGAACTTGTAAAGGTATAGACTTAAAAAGGTTAATATTGTAGTGATAAGAGAAACATCCTTTTGGTAGTAGTTTCAACAGGGAAGAAACTCTTTCAGTGGGACTTCGCACCAATGGAACACGTTGGAATGTGGGTGGTTTGTTACTATGTAAGTGGTATGGCAGGTCCTAACCGGGAAGTTTAGACTTGGCGGTACCATGGAATGAAGTTCATCCAAGCACTTTCCATGGAAGTAGAGATAGAGCAGTAAGAAACTCGCCACATCCCACCTATGAAAGAGAGATAAGACGGTGGAAAATAATTCTTCGTCCAAAATGTCTCGTAGACGGTTTTGAACTCTATCAAGACCGGAATATGAGGACAGGCCAGCCGCCGCCCATATATGACAAATGTATTCCATTTTTGGCCTGATTTTGGCTCTTATAAAAGTAGAGGATAGTGTGGACTCGTCCATTTACCTTATCACCCCTAGCAACTGGAACATTCCATTTTACACGCCTACGTGAATCAACTAAACCAATCAAAAACCTTACTGTGATAATTCAAAAACTTCACGTGAGGAAGTTAAATTGCGCCAAAACTTATTCGAGTCGAACCTGACATCTAAAACTTTATATAAGGATGATTTCCAACAGACCAAATCAGTCAGTCCAGCAAACAATATTTCTGCCACATTCAAAAGTTTGTGGGGGGTTTTATTACTAACACTAATTTTGTTTGGTTTCTTGTAAATATATTTTGTCATTTTGTATGTATTCATTGGGGATCATTTTAGAAGTTGTTGTTTTTATGCCCCCCCCCAGACAATATTTGTACATAAGGGGATTATTTAGTTTTTTCATAGAGTCAAAGAGGCATTTTAGTGTATGTAGTAAGAAAGGTATGGATAAATGTGTTGTTTTGGTGAAAGGATTATTGTTCTGTATGATAGGGTCAGTGGCTGTGGCTAGCTAAGTTTTAATCTAAGACAAGTGATGACCGTCCTTTACCCCAACCCCCTTTTCGGCCTTGTGCCACATTTGTACATAGTACAATAAATAATGTCAGTCAGTCCAGCAAACACCGGCTGATCGGTTGAACTCTTTGCTTTCGGGCGGGGAGGAACCCGAGAGAGGCTACGCTGAAGGGCGGATTCTCTTTCAGGGAGGTAAACCGACCCTGAACCCATTTATACGGGTTCAATGGGCATATTTTGAGCCCACCACGGGCTCCGGAGATCCCACGGCTCGGAGAGCCACGTTAAAAAGGCCTTGTGCCACATGACGCCCTCGTGGTGTGTGTGTGTGGGGGGGTGACTGAATATCGTCAGTCCAGCGAACACAGAGAAGCGCTAATCTAATCCACGTAACTTGCGATTATAATTTTTCCGCGCGAAAAAAAAAACAAACTCGACTCGAAGATTACTCTGTGAATACAAAGAACTTCAACTCGCAAGACTTTACTTATCCAAAGTGAATTATTAACGAATATTAAGTAAATACTATTATTTAACATATTTCATACTTACAGTTAAGGGTAGACTACTTCTGAATGACTAAATTCTAAACAATACAAAAAGAACAACACGAACATAATAACGGTGTTTAAACACTAATTACGAATTCTTATAGACTGTAAAACAAATTCACCAAGACACCAAAAAAACAAACAAAATCTTCATC